GATAACACAACACGCTGTTTAAGCGAGACACCCCTGCGAGCTAAAACCCAACATGCCTGTGAACTCTGTGACAAATAGTCCAACAGCCTGGACCATTCCTGGCTGAAATAAAGAGGAAAAATCAGCTCCAGATGCTCGACTTTGACTGTGTGCCTGTATGCCAGAGAGCAGATTTCCTAAATAGACCCAAAAGCGTCCACAGGGGCCAACGGGACAACCTATGTAAATTCTCTGCCATCAGATAAAAACCACAGGGGGCTGTGAGGAAATGTTAAAAATATGCTGCCGACCCACATCATTGGTTCGTGCATTACTCGTGGTAATAGTAGCTGTGGACTTCTTAAACGTGCTCTTGCCTTCGTCCCAGAGGAGTTTCTGTGAAAGCACAAAATCTTAAAATGGAAAGAGTCATGTTCAGAGAGCGAACAAAGAAAAACAGAAGAAGTAGACAGTGTCAAATGGAGCTTTAGTGTTTTCTGTGCCCACAGATGACTTGCACATGAGCATACTTTCAGCTAGAGCTGGACCAGTCGGCCCCACTGAACTGAGACGGGCCTCGCCGCAGCTCCAATAAAATAAGAGTTACCAAATTTCAGCTTCACATTTTATCATTAATTGCTTTTAGCTCCTCACAGGACATGTGGTTTGTTCAAATACATTTGAACACATCCTTCAGAAAATCAGTTAAATAGAATTTATTTAGGAGCATGACAGAATAACAACTGCACTCTAGTTCATGGCATGGAGGGGAAAAATAATTGATAAATAAAGCCTCTACATGTTTGGTAAACTTTTAAGGCATAAAACTTTTAACATGCCATATCTCACTCGCTGTCCGATCGTTGGTCGAACTTCAGATCCACGAGGAACAATGTGGGTTCTGTTCTGGCCGTAGAACACTGGACCAGCTCTTTACCCTCACTAGGGTCCTCGAGGGGTCATGGGAGTTTGCCCATCCAGTCTACATGTGTTTTATAGACTCGGAGAAGGCATTCAACAGTGTTCCTCGGGGTACACTGTGGGGGGTGCTCCGTGAGTATGGGAGTGGGGGCCCGTTGTTGCGGGTTGTTCAGTCCCCATACAAGCAGTGCAAGAGTTTGGTTCACATTTGGCTCAGAGTGGGAGTTGGACTCTGCCAGGGCTGCCCGTTGTCACAGATTCTGCTCATAACTTTTATGGACAGAATTTCTCGGTGCCAGGGGACGGAGGGATTCCGGTTCGGTGGCCTCAGGATTCCATCTCTGCTCTTTGCAGGTGATGTGGTCCTGTTGGCGTCATCGTGCCGTGATCTTCAGCTCTCGCTGGAGCGGTTCACAGTCGAGTGTGAAGCAGCTGGGATGAGAATCAGCACCTCCAAATCTGAGGCCATGGTCCTCAGTTAGAAAAGGGTGGATTGTTCTCTTCAGGTCAAGGGTGAGGTTCTGCCTCGAGTGGAGGAGTTCAAGTATCTGGTTTTGTTCACGAGTGAGGGAAGAATGGAGTGTGAGATTCACAGACGGATTGGTGCAACATCTGCAGTGTTGGGGACTCTGTACCGGTCCGTAGTGGTGAAGAGGGAGCTGAGCTGTAAGGCAAAGCTTTAGTTTGGGGAAATACAGTTTAATTCTTATTAAACTGATATGCTAAGGACTAATCTGAGCAGGCCTAGACCAAAGTGATTGTTGTCATCCTAAAACAACTGACTCAAAAACCAGAGCAGTTCAGATGAATCCTATTTAATAGATCGTTACATCTCTATAAATTTCACATTACACAGCCCCTATTTTAAATTTAAATGCAAATAGCAGTGGCTATAGTGCAACCTGTAGCCCTTTCTGTAAGAATATTAACATATTTCTGCTAAAATAACCATGTAGTAAATAATTTGACAGTGATGTGAAGGTTCATAAAATAGCATTTGTATAAACTGTGGATAGCAATCCACTTTGGTTTAAACCAGTGCTATTCAACTGGCGGCACGGGGGCCAAATCAGGCCCACGGATGAACTCTGATCGGCCCACCAATGGGTTCATTTTTAAATAAAGCTAGATTTTAAACCATAAAATAAATTTAATGAGAATAATCGCTGGGTGTCTGGCCCCTGGGCTCTTGGCTTTCAGTAACTGTGGCCCCCTGAACAATTTATTCAACAGCCCTGGTTTAAACCTTATTCGTTCTCACTTGTCAATCTGGTCAGACTTAAACGTTTTTTTTTTTTCAAACTGTGGTCATTCAAAGAGCTATCCACAGCAGGTAAGATATTAATCATTCACAACCTTTCCTCAGAAATTCACTTCAAAACATTTGAACTTTCACTTTAATTAGTATAGCTCAAATTGAAGCCACTATTTTTTTATTTATCTTGACTTTTAGTCTTTTAGCTTAAAGTAATTACAATGTAATGTTCACAACAACAACAAAGCCACTATATCCTCCACCTCTGAAGCACAATATATTTTTCTGGCCTAGAAGTTGATCCAAATAACACAGAAGAGCCTTTGATTTTATGAATGTTAAATATTTAATTTTGGTTCTGAATCTTATTTTTAAAAAGCGCATGCATCTCTCTCTTTAAGTTATGCCTGCCATGTTGGATGAAGAATGCTTACGGCTTGTCAGAGTCAAAATAATATTTTATCAAGTCAAAACTCAAATTTCTGTATTAAAAAGGCATAAAACTTCATAAAAATCCCAGCTTATAAAAACGACTTATTTGGTGCTGTAAATATGGGCAGATTCAGGTGCGTCAAATCCTTTTATGACTCGCGTTTTAATTTATATCAAAATACAAGATATGGTGATGTCGGTTGCTACGTACAAAAATAAAAAAGCAAAGCCTGTTTTTATTTAGCAATAAGAAATGATGTAATGCAGCAGCTGGAGGCGCAGCTTTGTCTTTATAATCACAAGTTTGTCCCAAGAGTTTCCTGTTGATGGAAATACCAATCCATGCTTTTAATCTCCTTCCTCTTTTTTTTTCCAAGTTTTTGTAAATTTGTCAGTAAATAATTGTAAACAGCCATGGAAGAGTTGAGCTGAATCAGATTGATGAGATGAAACAAAGCAGCAGTGAGTCTGTAAAACAATTATGAGAAGTCCAAGGAGGACTGGTGTCTTTATGAACTAATAAAGTTTGACCAATAAATGACTGATATACTAAAATCTACATTTGCATTGTTATGAGCCCCAAAATGATTTTCATTGTTTAGAATCTGTTTTATGAATCTGAGTTGCTTTGAAATCTTTTTTCCCTGGATTTGATTTGCTCGGGGTTTCCACTGTTGACTTTTTTTTTGTTTTTTCTGGTTTTTCCCTTCCCAACACAGCCGTCTCTTTGTCTTACCGACCTTGAGGAAATGTGCATCTGGTTTTTCATGCATTAGGAACATGTTCGTTTCTTTCCAGCAACCTTTGAAAACAATGGGATTAAAAACTGAGTCATTTATGGTGGGGGCTGCACTCTTTCAAGCCTTATATGTGACATAATCTGTGTTTTTGTCTGTTTTCTTTGTGGTTCTTTAGTCTTTATTTCCCCGTTCTGACCCTTGTGTTTGACGCTGTGTTCCCTGCCATTCTTCACCCTCTCTTCAGTCAGTCTCTGTGGCCACTCATCTCACACCTGTTGGTAATTACTAATCATCCCAGGTGCACTCGTTTCTCACTCTACCTCTGTTATTTGCTTATTAATGAATAATTTTTTAGTTACTGGTACTTCCTGATCTCCGTGTCTGCCTGCACTTGGTTCTAACCCCACGGATTGTGATAATTTGCTTATTGCATTTTTTTATTCTCTCTTATTTGTAAAGACATTTTGAAGCTAACAGCTGAATGAGCAAAATATCTCATGAACCACTGGATAGATCTTAATGAAACTCACTGTATGGAAATGGTAAATGGACTGTACTTATATAGTGCCTTTCTATACAATACAACCTGTGCCCTCATTTACCTCCACACAGCACTTTAGATCTCTACAAAGCTAAACTGAATCTGTAGAGACGAATCAGTGCTTTAAATCACATTCATACACCGATGGGACACACATCAGAGACAATGAAGTGTTCAGTGTCTTGCCCAGGGTCACTTCAGCAGGTGACTCCTGGTGGAATCGAACCCCAAACTCCCATTGGAGTACAACTGCTCTAAAGGGAAGGGAAGTTTGAGGTTGTCATCATTGTATGTTCCCATACAATGGCGAAATTAGTTCTCTGCATTTAACCCATCACATGTGAGATACACTCAGGTGGAGCAGTGGGCAGCTATGTAAGTGCCCCGGAAGCAACTGGGGATTGAGTGTCTTGCTCGTAGACACCACGGCATGTGGGAATAGCTGGGAGTCAAACCGTGACATTTTGGTCCCCAGTCAGCTGCCCTACCTCTACACCATCTCGACCCCTCGAGTAGCAACTGCTATATTTCTTAAAGTCCAAAATCATCTCCTTGTTTTTTTTCCACATTCAGGAAAACAATGTTGTCACACCTCCTGATCAGTTGCTCCACCTCCTCTCTGTACTGTGCAGTGAGATCTCATTGTTGTTCAAAAGGCTTGCTACTGTTGCACCATCTGCAAATTGTGATGTGCTTTGAGTTGAACCTGGCAGTGAAAGTCATGTCAGTTGAGTGAACAGATGAGGGCTGAGCACACAGCCCTGGGGTCTGCCAAAGCTCAGCGAGATGCTGCTGGTGGTAAACTTCTAAACACAGCTGCCCTGATGTACTAGTTAGCTTTTGAAGTCACCCTAGTTTAAGATGGCCGCCACAGCTAATTGACATTACCCATCAAAAGACGGCTTTAAGTCATGTAGTTTTACAGATGAGAGTCGCTCACCACACATACTCTCGAGCATATCACATGACATCATGCAGAAGGTCATTTACATATTGGCTACACCTCTATCTCTAATTCCAGTTTAAAGCTGGTGATATGCTTTCCTCCAACAAATGCTTGGTCTTTAACTTACACACACAAAATAAACATCAAGCAGATCATCTGTCGGTTGGTGGCTCAGTGGTTACGTACCCGGCTGTCCTCCTGAGCCTCCCACTCCGGAGTGAAGCTGTGGACTTGAGTTCCAGGTGTGCAGTTAGAAAACTGGAAGAGGCTCGCAAACATGCGGTGGTTCTCCGGAGTGTCGGGGAAGATGGGGTCCTGGAAGTTCACTCCGTGTGGCATGATGTTATAGTTCTCGTCCATCCTGTGTGAAGCGAGAGAAGATGTTCTGGTGATAGAGTGGTGAGCTAAAGCTAAAAAAAAAAAAGTCTTACAGTGAAATCGGACACACATGGAAACAAATATAAGCTATAAAGGAAATGTGTTGCATTTAATTGTCACTAGAAACTTGTTTAAATGGAAGGACATTATGAATTTAGTTATAACTGCTGAAGGCAAAGGCAGACAATTGTGTTTTTGACTGTGGGCATTTGATAGTCTGTTAGCAAAATATCTCATGAACCACTTAACAAATTTTATTGAAACCTCCAGAAACTAATCATTGCATGTATTTCTACAACTGTTCAACATTTGGTGTCAACATAATTCAAGATGGCAGCCACAGCCATTTGACCTAAAAAAAAAACACAAAAACAGCTGTAACTCAGTTGGTTTTACAAATATTAACCTAAAGTTCGGTGTGGTTGTAGCCGAGACTGTTCCCTGACACACATTCTGAGTGCTAACTAATTTAAAAAGCTCTACATTTAAATGTTTTGACGTGAACTATTTGCTGTCAACTTTTGTCCGTTAGTAAAAAAAAAAAAAATCTTACAAACCTCCACATGAATTTTAATGAAACTTCCAGAAAGTAATCACGGGATGTAGATTTACGACTGATTAACTTTTGGAGTCAACTCAATCCAAGATGGCTGCCAAAACAATTGAAATTAGCAAATGCAAAACGGCTACAAATCAGCCAGTTTTCCAGGTACTGAGCTAAAATTTGCTATGGTAGTAGCTGAGAGTCGTTCTCAACACATACTCCAAGTGCTATAAAGTCTCATGCAGCATGAAACTGTGCATAATGTCATTTAAAGGTTTGACCAAAACAGCTATCCTTCTCAGAATAACATGGTTTTACTTCAGCACTCTGGCATATATGGTGGAGGGCATGTATGAGTTTCTTAAAGAAAAGCTGAACTGAATTTAAACAGTGATTATTTGAACATGACAAAAGGTTTCCTTCATGTCAGTAGTAAAAACATTCTGTGGGACAAAATGCAAACTGGTTGCAGATTCTCTCATTATTTAGGGACGACTCAGCCCAGCAGACGACGAGCCAAACGGAATTATGGAACATGCTTCATATCTGCAGGGAGTCTATAGTGGCAAACATCTGGATTCCATCTCGAAGCTCGCAGAAGACATCTGGGCTGTCCCCATCAAAGGCTGCGTGCGCTTTGTGTACATGTTGGAGCAGGACATGCGAGCTCAGGTTCTGGTTTAGCGGATAATGCCAAAGGTCAGATGTAATCACAGAAACCAGGAAGTTCACGGAGCTGGAGATTTGAAAAGTATTTGTCTGAACTCTAAACTGGTGAAATAAGGATTAAAGAACATGATGCAAACGAGCACTTTAGAGCAGGATTTAAGCCGACTGAGTAAACGCTCGTTTTGCTGCACAAGCCCCAGATTAGGCTTTGCTTTGCTCAGACGGAGAAGTTAAAAATCAACAAGGAGTGAAGCTAAACAGATGGTTTTAGCTGCATGCTCAATCTGTCTCGTTTACGAGTCCTGGGGGAAACCCTTGGATGCATTTTTCTCTGTTCATCCTGATCATGGGAGCTTGTAGTCATGATTGATTGGAGAAATTATTTTGGTCAGACAGAAGATGTTTTGAGGGAGGAAATAAATGCCGTCTGGAGGATTTTGATTCATTAACAGACCTTCTGGGAGTTGATGTTGCTAAGAAGCTTCAAGAACAATAAAACTCATCTGTTAAAGGTTTCCCAAATTAGACACAAAAAAAAAACCTCTTTGTACAAAGACAGCTTCTTGATGCTTTTGTGAATCATCAGGTGCTGTTATAAAAGTCACATCAAATCACTTAAACACAATCAATTTAAACCCATGGATCATAAAAATAATATAAAGTCTTAGGCTTAATAAGAGTCAGTTCAAAACGAAAAGTCCCAAAAACGGCTGAACTGTTCATGACTTCCAACAATGATCAGTCAAGTCATGTGGACAGTTTCTATTTTTGCTGAGATGTTTCATCCTTCATCCAAAGAACTTCTTCAATCTGAAGAATCCCCAATCCTGTTTGTTTGTGGCTCTACTGAAGAAGTCCTTTGGATGAAGGCCGAAATATCTCATAAAAAAAAGAAACCGTCCACATGACCCGACTGATCATTGTTGGATTTTTACCTGGAATACTGAGCATGAACTTTGGTGTTTGACATGATTTAATTGTCTTTATTCCAAAGGTATTTATTTTGGTTGTAAATATTTTCTCTTATATTTATTTTTTTTATACAAAAACATGAGTAGTAACTTGGACTCAAATGTCAGAAGTCCTGAGTTCAAGTCAGACAGAGGAGCTTTTTTAAAAAAAAAAAAACTTGCTTAAAACATTAAGTGCCTTGTTTCCCTAAATCATTTTTAAAGTGACACTTTATGATCATACTTATATTATTTAATAATTAATTGGATAGAACTTTCATGATGGAGCAATGCATTATGAGATTAAATATTCTTTAACAGTGGTGGGGGGTGGGAATGCACCTATTTCAATTTGCTCTAAACGTCATGTAAAATATTCTATAAATACCAGAAGGAAACACTGAAAGGCAAGACGAAGACATTTTAGAGGGGACATGTCCCATCGTCTAAGTCTGACCAACTCTTCGTCTCGACTTTATGACTTTTCAGAAGAAAAACAAACTCTTTGAGGGATTACAAACGTCTTGTAAATTGTTCTTGTTCTCGTTTCAGAAAGAAAAGAAAGAGGCAGGAGAATTTTTTTTTAAACCTGAGCGTATATTCTAACCCATGATTTATCCGCTTAAAAATGTAAATAAATAAATAAACAAAACAAAAACAAACACCGTTTGCTGTGTTCAGGAATGAGAGAACCATACAGAATCTTAGAAAGCATTTGTCTGTACTAACCCATATCCTAAATAATTGGAACAAAGAAACAAACTTTTTTTTTTTTTAATCATCCGCTAAGATAATGAATATGAAAACTTTTTATTTATTTATAAACGTCAAGAGAAAATATTTGGACAGGAAAAAAAATAAAATCAAATCTCGCCTTTCAGTGTTTGCATGATTCCCTCAGTATTTTAATCGGACAGCTTCATAATAAAACTGAATTTCTGTTATGGCTTGTGGTTTTGGTGTCCCCCCCCAACACCCCCTGTTTGGACACCTCCTGGATGCGGCCCTGCCTCGTCCCCCTCACACCTGGTGCTTCACCTGAGGAAGAAGTAGTAGTTGCTGTTCGGGGTGACGCTGTAGGTGAAGCACGGTAAGTAGCCCAGGCCGCTGACGTTGAACCTGGAGCCGGCGGGGACCTCCAGCATGCTGCCCCACGCCTGGTCGCACAGCAGCTCGATCTCTGCGGAGAAGAGCAGGTCGGTGTCGTGCTGCCACGGCAGGTAGTTGTACACGCTGTAGGACTCCTTGTGCAGCGCGAGCACCTTGGCGAACACGATGATCTCCGCCAGCTCGGCACGGCACGCTTCTGTCTGAGGTCTCCAGTCGTGGGGCAGCTGGCAGCCCCCCCAGCTCCCACCGGGACTGGCAGCTGCCAGGACAAAGAGCAAACTAATCCACATGGTGATGATGTGACAGACAGGAGACATCACAGAGGAGCGCGCCAAGGCGCACAGCAGTGGAGAGGTGAGAGTCCCGAACAGCGATGGGAGGCTGTCACACACTTATATGCTTCAAATGCCTCCTTAAAGAAGGATTGCAGAACAAGAACAAAAAAAAAAAAAAAAAGTTACTGCCCTGAAATCTCTGTCCAACCACAGCTGCAGTCTCTCCAACATCCCTCTGCAAAAAAACATCTGCACCTCACCTCTGAAACAAAATGACACGTGGACAAATAACTGAACTTTTAAACTCGAAGGTCAACTCTTTTTACATTTCTGCTCAAGTACAAAAAACGTGTGCTTTATCTAATACCGTATTGCACATTAGTATTAAACATAAACCACCGAGAACAGAAAAAAATAAAAAAATTACTGGCGCCCTCTGGTGGCGACTTCTAGAAACAGCTGCAAAAATGGATGAAGTTTTCTGTAAGCTTTCAATTTCAAAACACTTCAAATAACAGTAAAACTAATAAAACAGGACAGCTCCAAATTAAAATCATAACATTTTCTTTGGAGTCCATTTATTATGAAATATGTCTTAATGGAAATTAGACAAATGTAAGTCTGTAACTTGAAAAAAGTGATATGAAAGTAGACCCTTCATAAAAAAAAGAAGAAAATTCCAGTATTTATCACTTTTTATTTATTCTAATGTATCTGATAATTCTGTAAAATCTTCATGTGAAGGTTTTTAAATATTTTAATGGTCTTGTTCCAAAGGTAGTTTTTATGGTATTACAGGAGCTCCTTCATGAGAACAAAACATAATCTGGATCGTCTTCCTTTTTGTTTAGAAGCCCTCAGAATGGTAAAAGTTCATCCATCCATCCTCTTTACCTGCTTCTTCCTTTTTTGGGTCATGGGGGTCACTGGTGCCCATATCCATACACTGTGCGAGAGGTGGACGACACCCTGGACAGGTCTCCAGTCCATCACAGGGACACATGGAGTCAAATGAGGCAAACAACCATTCATACTCACATGGGATAATTCAGAGTTACCAATCAGTCTAACATGCATGTTTTTAGTCTGTGGGAGGAAACTGGAGTTTCACCCAGCCGGGATTCCACCGGCAACTTTCTCACTGAGAGGCGGCAACTCTACAAACTGCACCACTGTTCCACCCTGTAAAAGTTCATAAACTTTAATAAAACCATTAACTAATTTATTTATTTTTATTCCCAAGTGATACGACAACTCAGACAAATCATATCTGTGAACGCTCACATACATCAGTTTTACCATCATATGCCTTTTTTTTTTTAAAGCCTTATCCCATATTTATGTATTTTGTGTGAATTATTGTTGCACAATTAATTATTTTGTGGTTTGTTTTAAAAGTTAATACTTTGTATGAATATTTTTACAAGTCCAGTTTTATTTAAAAGTCTAAACAAGGACAGGATCTACAAAGTTGTCCGATCCTAAGTTTATATAGTTGCAAAAATTGATTTGTCACATTGTTCTTGATAAATATGAAAAGTAAGTAAGAGAGGACATGGAGGTAGTTGGAGTGAGGACAGAGGATGCAGAGGACAGAGATGGAGGAGGATGAGGGAAAAGCTGAAAGAAGAAGTTCTTGATTTATAAACCCGAATTAAGTTTGGTATTCTTATTAATTCTCCATTTTAAATGTTCACAGGGGTTTATTTTTTTTTAATACAAATAATTTACATAAACAGGATATTGTGTGTGAATGCTAATCCAGCATTCCCAAAAAGTCTGTTTTGCTGGTCTTAGTTTTAATTACTGTTTTGCTGGTCTTGTATGCCTCTTTTTTCATTCAACCTTTATTTAGACAGGTTAAAAATACAGATTTTTTTTTTTTTTTACAAATTAAAATAAGTGGCAAAATAAAAAAGTAGCGAAAAAAACGTTGTTGCTGGTCTTAGCATTTAGCTACTATTTTGCTGATTTTAGCTTTTAGCTATTGCTTTTTTTAACTACTGTTCTGTCTGAGCTTTGTGTATTTTTAGTGCGTACACCTTTAAGAGACGCTGTGACGTTGACCAAAGTGGGCGTGGCTTGTAGGCTCGTCGCAGACGGGACTCTTTTGGGAGAAGAAAGAAAACAAATCCAGGTCACGTGACAGGCGGACAGGAGCATCGTTTTGGGACAAATTTTGAGTGTTAGCAAGGTCTTCGTGCGAGCCACCCGCCCCCAACCCCCGGTAAAAATGACCAAGCTGCAGTTTTTAAACGTCTTCCTGACTGAGCGTCTCATGCTTGCCGCGCAGGAGATTTACAAGTCCGTGGAGGACACGATTTTGGAATACCAAGAGGAGATAGCGATCAGGGAGCGGGAGAACGACCATCTGAGGCGGCGGCTCCGAGACGCTGGGATCGAAATATGGCCAGGTTAGCTAGGTCAGCCGTGCACCGTGCTTTCAGTAAAGCAGAATCTAAAGACGATAACAGTTGTTGAAATAAGGAATAATGGCGGCAGAATGGGCATAGCTGCAAAATAACGTTGCTCCACTTCAACACAAGTTCACAGTTTGTAAGAGCAGGTTAGCTGACGTTAGCTGCGCTTCTGTTAGCGACCTTTGTTCGTTAGCCAGCCGGTGTTGTGCCCAATAAAAGCACCTCTGTCATTCAAGGCGCTATTTAAGACTTTTTTTTTTTTTTTTTTTTTTTTCAGTGATGAATTAGGCGAAAAAATGTGACTAACGGACTTTTGTTCTCACGACATTTAAACACTCATTTACATTTTGAAATTTACTTAGCCTTAGTTATTGTTTGGAGGTTTTTAGGAGCCCGTGTGAATTTTGAATACTGGCTGCTTCCTTTGACTTTAAAACACCAACATCACAAAATAAATCACATAAGTTTAACTTCGTCATTATCTGAGAATCACTGGTTTGTGTGAGTTACGCTGGACTTTTTAACAAATATATTAGTGTTCATAACAGGCTGGGGTGCTCTTCATGACCGGGGTGTCTTTTTTTTGTCACAACACCGCTTCTCCAATTTAGCTATAAACTATTAAGGATATGATTTATTTCTGCTATATATATATACATACACAATTTTTTTTTTGCTTTTTTAATTTTAGTTTACAGTTTCAGAGTAATTAAGGTACACACCATCACATGAACAGTTACGTCATGTTTTCTTGAACACTGATCCTCAGTTACATGCTTCTTTCTGAGTTTCCTTACAAATGTGCATAGATTATAGCTGTATTCTCTGGTAGCACTTTACAGTTATCCTGCAGCCTCGCTCTAAATGTCACATATCAAATATTTGAAGGCATCTACGTTGTTGAACATCTGTGCAGTTTGAACTTTGTAGAATTTAATGCATTTTAGTGTTTTGCAGAAATTGAGCAAACGACTGTGTATTTTTTTTTTCAAGCAGATCTTTAAATGTATAAACTGCAGTTAAATGTTTGGGTTATCTGAGGTTATCTAGATGAACAGCTGCAGTTATCTGTAACAGGATTTTGGCTTGTTCAGAAACAACACCTTCATTTTTTACACACGCAATTCATGACTGCAAGACCTCCCATTCATAAACCGCAAAACTGGCCAAACCATTATACTACCACCTCTATATTTTAAAGGTTTGAAAAAGTTCACACGTGGGATTCATCGATTTCTTAAGATTCAAAGTCAAACACAGAACTTGTTAATTGTTTACCCCTTCTTCCCCCAAAAACGATGTTTAAAAATAATTGTAGAATTAATCCTTACCATCAAATATGCTTTCAGATTGAATTTATGAACTCCAACATGACTATAGATTTTATTATTTGTTTTGGTATCCATCTTTTACTATTCTGAAAGTATTTCCACCAGTTTTTTTAAAATATTACTTTTATTTGGATGTATTGAGTTCAGTACTTTGGTTTTGGGATCATTACTGAGGAAACGTTATAAAGGGAGTCATTGTCTGTTATAAATTATCTACTGGCTTGGATTAAAGTTTTGGACCTCTTCACTTTGACAAAGTCACTCAGATATTTAATTTCATTAACAAAGTATAAAATCAGTTTGAAGTCGTATTCCATATTTAGTGTAATCTAGTCATTGTTTTGCCTCTTCTTGTCAGATCGTCCGTCCATGGGGCTGCTGGATGAAGAGGATGGAGAACACCCACGCCGTGAGTGGAGTCCCAGTATGGGGCATGAGGAGCGCATTCCCATTCAGATCAAAGACAAAAGAGCTCTGCGGGTCAACCAGGGAGACGATCATCTTCGAGGCCATGGCTCTTGTGGTACCTCGGGGAATATGTTCACTCCTCCCCGTGTTGCAAATGAATACCCCCAGGATGGCCCCCACACTTCCAGCCTTCCTCAAAGTCAGGGTGTGGAGAACCGGGAAAGGGATTCTGGATCTCGGGGTTCCTCTAGGCATGTGAAGTGTGAGACTGTAGGCGGCCACAGAGGTTCTGCATCTTCCAGCAGTGGCACCCAGCCTCTAGCTCCAGTCAATCCAAACTGCTCCAATGAGAACAATATTGACATGATGGGAGCGGAGACTGGAGGACAAATGGTTGCTGCTAAAGGAGCTGTAAGTGGACCTAACAGAGGACAAGCCTCTCTCATCCGTAACCAAGGAGCCAACGCTATGGACTGCCCACATCAAAAGTCTCCCCTGCAGGGCCACATGTCATCTTTCTGTTGTAAAGTCTGCGGTGAGGCGTTCAGTCACATTGGCCACCTACACGTGCACGTGCAGGTGCACACACGGGAAAAACCTTACCGCTGTGGAGTGTGCGGAAAGTGCTGCAGCTCCTCCGGAAGACTGCAGGAGCACCAGCGGAGCCACACGGGAGAAAAACCGTTTCGTTGCCAGATTTGTGGAAAGGGATTCACACAGATGGCTCATCTGAAAGTTCACATGAGGATTCATACAGGGGAGAAGCCGTACAGCTGCCCCGTGTGTGGCAAGTGCTTCAGTCGCTCCGATAAAATCAAAAGGCACCTTCAGACCCACAGCCGCGAGGGAACTTATTTCTCAGGGCAATGATGGAAGGAGTATTATTTTAACAGCCCGCTTTATGGATCATATTGATCTGAGGAACTTTTCTATTAAAAGCTAAAAATGCTGCCGTTGACATTTTCTTTACTTTGCAAGAACTAAAAGTTCTGCAGGTGGTAAAATACTTTCCCACCCAATCTAACAGAACATTTCTCAGTTTCTTGATCGACTTTGTATTTTAGCCGTTTTAGTATGTTGTTTACTGAATTTTGTATTTGCCACAGAGTAGTAAATCTAAAACACAACTCGAATTATTGGCTAGTGTTTCTTATATTTTGCTGCTTTTTGTATAATCAGCATGAAGTCTTCCACATAATCCTTGAAAAAGAGATGTTTAAATGCAACAATATTCTGTATATCCAGTTTAATTTCAACCTGTCACTTTATGTTTGTAAGTTCATGTGTTTAACATTAATCTTGTCTGTATTCTGTTAATCTGAAAATGTATAGTCAGCATGGGCATAACAGTCGTTCTCAGTTAAGAAGAGGTTGGTAATTGGCCAAGCACTGGTTGCGTTGGATGGTTTTGTTTGACAGTGGAATCAGTTTTTAAACATTTGTGCTGCAGTTTTAAGAAATTCAAATATTTTGGTACAGATCCGCCTAATAAACTTTATTTGGATGGAGAGGTCGTGTCTCAGAAGTGTACTACGAAGCAGGATTAATGCGTTCGGTAAGGATGTTGAACTTAATTTTTACTGTTAACCCGATAAATCCATATTTTAACTTGAGGTGAACCTTAATGCTCTGGAAGAAGTTATGCACAGAGCGTAAAACCTGGCAGATTGTACAAATGCTCACTGACTTTACCTCACAGGACACAGTTGGAATGAAAATCTGATTAAAACGTGAATGTACAGAACCAATGTGTTAAATTCAAAGTGCTCAACGACGGCCAAATTAATTAACGATGGATTGTCATTTATAATAAACTGCACAGACCGCTCTGATGAAAAGCTGGCTTTTTAAGCTCATCGTGAGAAACTGTTCACTCAAAACTTTCAGCAATTAACGTTTTAAAAAGTTGAACAATAAAAAAATTTTCATTCAAAAATTTAACTTGATCAATGCTAAATGAACAACTTCTATCACATTGCAGATTATAACTGCAACAAACATTAAACTATTGAACATCAAGTTTCTTTTGGAAACTCGTAATCTGACAGCAGTGGAGAAATGTGGACTACTTCAAAATGTTTGACTTGTTGAGCAGAGATGTTTATTCTGCAGCTGATGGGACGCTCAGATTTTTATCATGGAGAATGTTTTTTCACTATGGACCATGTATGGCACCTTCCAGAGTGCTTTACAACACAATCTCAGAGTCAGAGTTTCTTTATTGTCATTCGCACCTCATGTGGTACATGTGGTGGAGCGAAATTATGTACACAGGGTCCCAGTTACATCCAACAATAAAATGTATAAGAAAAACAGTAATAACATCTAAGATATGAACTAAGAAAAACATCAACTAAATATACACTAAGCACTCATAACATAAAACATTGAACATCACCACAAACATGAACATGAGTCTGTGAGCAGATGTGCACGCATGAACACATCAACATTGAAACAGATCAGCAGCAACATGAAACAGATCAGCAGCAACATGATATGGTTTTTCACAGTGATTATTCTAGTTAGAGATTCATGAGTCTAACAGCCTCAGGGTAGAAGCTGTTCCTCAGTCTAGTGGTTCTACACATAATGCTCCTTAACCTCCTTCCTGAGGGGAGTGGGGCAAAAAGTGTGTGTGCTGGGTGGGTGGGGTCCTTCATGATGCAGGTGGCCCTCTTCCTGCATCTGGAGGTGTAGATGTCTGTGATGGTGGGGAGACTGATTCCAACAGATTTCTGTTCTGTTCTGTTTCAGATCTGTGCCCTCATTTACCTCCACACACACATTCATACAGCACTCTACTAGATCTCTACAAAGCTAATTGAACAAACCATTCTAAAGAGACTAATCAGTGATTTTTATATCACATTCATACACCGATGGGACACACATCGGAGGCAATGAAGGGTTCAGTGTGTTGCCCAGGGACACTTCAACATGTGACTGCTGGTGGACTCAAACCCCCAACTCTCCCATTGGAGGACGGCTACTCTAACCACTCAGCCACCCACTATAATAAGAAACAAATGAACATCTTTCTGGGACAGTGTCAGAAGAGACAGTTTGTAGTTATACTGTAGAATACCTGGCAACTTGCAATAACATAAATTGCACCATTAATGATCTGCTAGCAGTTTCCTGCAGCTCAGAGTGTTTGTGTTACAATTTTTGCGTTCTTCATCTCTATCCAAAGTATTGTATCAGATCTGTGGCGTTTTATCTCTTTGTACTCATTTTTATTCAAGGATTCAAGTTTTTTTTTAAATTGTCATTCACATGACGTGGTACATGAGGTGTTCAAAAAGCGTTCAATACAAAACATGGTACATGAGGTGGAACAAAACTGTACACAGGGTCCCAGTTATATCCAACAAAAATACAAATTGTAAAGAAAAACAGCATTGAGATCTAAGACATGAACTAAGAACTACGCTAAGCTGTAATAGTACAAAATGCGCCAAACAGCAGCACGAACCTGAGTCTGTGTGAGCAGATGAGGACGAATTAATTTTTATTTTACATTTTTTTAATTTTAAATTTATTTTTTAATTTTACATTTTATACAACATTTTATCTGACTCAAGTTTAAGGTGTGTGAAAGAAAGTATCTGTGTCGATCCTGCTCTTTAGTACACTCCTTTGGTGCTTCTTTCTTTTGTTTTACTCATTACTTTTTCCTCTTAATGAGTTTACATTCTTGCAATTCATTCGACCGTTATTTCGAAAGTTAATCCCATTGAACCTCGCGGACTCGTTTACAAGAGAGACCTACAATAGTGCATCCATATCACATCGTCAGTGTTTCAAATGCACTAAACACAGAACAGATCTTTTGTGAGACTGTTCCACAGTTTACTGAAATGTGTTTCAGTGGAGTACTGTACCACTAATCCTAACTTACCTCCTGTTTTTTTATGGTCTATTTCTTTTTTTTCTCGACTCTCATGAACTCGCTGTTCTGAAAAATACATAAATAAACTAAAACATAGCCATTCAGTATTACCTGGACCTCTAGTTCTATGAGGTTTTCCAATATTTATGTGCATCTGTGTTTCCGTACTAGTCACCATTTAAAATGTGTTGTTTTTTAATTATTATTATTTTTTCTCTTGTGGTTAATTTTCAGAAGTGAAAATTGGACTAGATGAAATAAAGTATTTCCTCTTTGCATTTCATTTCAGCAGATTTCACATTTCTTCTTTGAAACATTTTTGATGAATGTCTGAAACAATGTCAGTCACTTTTTTTTTGTAGCTGACCTGCAGTGCACACCGTACCGTGCTAGTACCACTCATTTCTTATGAACTGTTTTAGATAAAGAAGTCACTCAGTGTGCTGGATGCTCAGTGTGTTCTGAAAGAGCAGTTAGGCAAACGCATGAGAAAAAGTTGTAAAATAAGATGCATTTACGAACAAATACTGAAGAAGCTGGTAAATATTGTATGGATACTGTGAAGTTTAATTTACATTTGTTTTTAAACCAGCAAATTTGACATTTTGGCTCAGGTTTCCCTAGAAAAAGACAAGGAAGACAATAAAAGGGTATAATACATTTAAAATGTTTAAAAATATATATTGAATAAATAATTGTAATGTGCATGTATACTTACAGGAAAAATGCCAATTACCATTTGTCTGACAACGTTGAGTCAGGTCTTATGAATGGGTTCTTCTTTATTGAAACATTTGGTCTTTTATCCAAGAGACTTGATTTTATATTATAGGCAGAAACATGGGTGTGCTATGGGGTCTCCAGTTTCTCCTATTGTTGCCAACCTGTACATGGAGGAGGTAGAAAAGAGCCTTGACGTCCTTTTCAGGGACACCACCAAGTCATTGGCTCATGTATGTTGACGACACCTGGGTTAAAATAAAAACTCAGGACGTCCAACATTTCACTGATCACATCAACTCTGGATAAATATATACAGTTCACAGGAGAAGATGTAAAAGATGGCAGGTTGGCTTTCTTAGACTGTGATGTCTCAATCTCTGATGGAGGACATTTGGAAACCAATGTTTACCCCAAACCCACCCACACAGACCAGTATTTGCAGTTTGACTCCCATCACCCTTTGGAGCACAAGTTAGGAGTCATCAGGACTCTGTACCACAGAGCAGACAGCGTCCCCACTAACTCAGGAGCCAGGCAGAAGGAGAAATCCCGGGAGCAATGTGGACTGGGCCTTCCTGAAAGTAAAGAAGAAACCCAAACAGGACTCCAGCCAGCCATCAGGTGGAAAGGAGGAATCCAGACCAGTGGTCATTCCATATGTTGCGGGAATATCAGAGAAACTGAGACATTTATTTTCTAAACATAACGTCCCAGTGGCTTTTAAACCCCAAAATACATTACGGCAAAGACTGGTTCATCCCAAAGATCCAGTCCCCCGGCACAAACAGAACAATATTGTGTATGCTGTTCAGTGTCAGGAGGGTGATCAGTCTTACATCAGGGAAACTAAACAGCCACTGGCCAAAAGGATGGACCAGCACAGAAGAGCAACATCATCAGGCCAAGACTCTGTGGTCTAAACTCATCTCCAGATCAGAGGTCACTCTTTCAGGGATGAAGATGTTCACATCCTGGACAGAGAGGAACCATGGTTTGAGAGAGGAGCGAAGGAGGCCATCTTTGTGAAGATAAACCATCCATCCATCCATTATCTTTTACCCGCTTCTTCCATTTTGGGTCACGGGGGTCACTGGTGCCCAGGTCCAGCAATCACTGTGCGAGGTGGACATGTCTCCAGTCCATCACAGGGACACATAGAGACAAACAAGACAAACAACCATTCACTCTCTCACTCACACCTAGAGACAATTTTAGAGTTACCAATCAGTCTAACGTGCATGTTTTTGGTCTGTGGGAGGAAACCGGAGTACCCGGAGGAAACCCACGCATGCACGGAGAGGTGAAGATGACCCGTTCATTGTTAAACGGGGCGGAGGCCTCCGTGTGCATCACTCAGCCCTCTGAATAGCAAGCGGCCAACAGTGCGCTGTTCG